GACAGGGTCTCACTATGTAGTTGAGACTGACCTGGAACTCACTATGTAGCCCAGGCTGGTCTTGAACTCACAGCAATCCTCCTGCCTCAGCCTCCCCAGTGCTGGGATTACAGGTGTGCGCCACCACGCCCGGCTGGCCTTGTCTCTTGCTACTCCATGTTAATTCACACTCCAAGTAGGCCTCTTCATACTGGCCTTCACAATGTACCACTGCTTTCCTGGCCTAAACCTTTGCTCCCATTTTTCACCTGCCTCACAGTGGCCTTTTGAATTTTACAAATCCATTCAGTTCTGAAGGGCCCAGCTCAGATCCTCATCTCACCACAGCCCTAGCATCCATCCTTGTCTATTCCAACCATCCACATCTATTCCTAGAGGGCAGAGACCACGTCTTGTCCAGATAGATTTCTAGCAGTGTCACCACAAAGAGATGACCATGTTGAAGATGCTCTGAAAAGACCGGCTCACCTAAGGCTGTCTGCCATTAACAAAATCAGGTTGAAGTAGGCAGAAGGTTTACTTTCAGAATTCTGGGAAGGTGGTGCTTGTCTGCGTATACTTCTATAATATGCCTTGTGTCTGCTGTAGGTAAGAATCAAGGGTTGTTGGGTAGCAGATCAGAAGAGAATCGGTGTTAGTGCTCACAGTTTCTTCTCATTCCTCTTCCAAGACCGACTCCGAGATACTTTGATCCATGAAATATGCCATGCAGCCTCCTGGCTGATTGATGGTGTTGGAGATTCTCATGGTGATACATGGCAGTACTATGCCAACAAATCCAACAAGGTGCATCCAGAGCTGCCCTCGGTCACCCGTTGCCATAGCTATGCAATTAACTACAAGATTTATTATGAATGTAAGCAGTGCAAAACCAGGTAAGGCTTTTCTCAGACTTTTTTTTTCCTAATCACCTTTTTATTTCAGTCTCCAAGTGACTCTTCAGTCTTTGTAAGAGTAAGTCAGTGGCTATCTGACTTGAAAAGTAAACCTCTCTATGTCTTTCATTTTTGGGTGAGGGGTACTGGAGATTGAACCTAGGGCCTTCACAATGAGCTACGTCCCCTGCCCCCTTTTCCTTTTGATTTGAGACAGAGTCTCACTAAATTGCTAAGTTGCCCAAGCTAGGCTCAAACTTGTGATCCTCCTGTCTCAGCCTCCCAAGATGATGGGATTATAGGTATGACCTCCCTATTTCTTTCCATGTTCTCTTTATTAATTTGAGCCAGCCTGACCCCTGTTGCTTGGAGCCCAACTCTTAACACAGAAACCTCTCACTTTGTGTCCAAACCCAATATCTCAGAGCTGATACTGTGGTGACTGATTCCTTTGTTGTATGGTGTCCTTTTTCTCACTAGGATTGGCCGCTACACCAGATCGTTGAAGACCGAACACATTACCTGTGCTGTATGCAAGGGGCCTCTGGTCTTGCTGCCGCTAACTCGGAAAGATGGAACCCCCATCAGCGCTATGTGAGACTGTTTGGCAGATATGTGCAGGAGAATTATAGAATGGTGTTACAGGAGACAGCAGGGATCAGCCATGGGGACGTGATAAAAAGGCTCAGCAGGGATTATATTGCCAGTAAACAGAAGAGAATTCCTTAAGATCGTCTTAGAGCATATATCTGTTAGCTGAGTCCTTTACTGACAAGAAAGTTGTGGAAACATTTCTGTAAAGTTATTAATATCTTAGTTTATAGATTTTTACATTTGTTTTAATGATGATTGTTTTAAACAAAGCTTTTATTGTACCCTTCCTTGCGAATACTCTGAAGGGCTTTTGATCTACCTCGTGTCTTACTTTTACTGCATAGTTTTAACATATAGAACAAAACAGGAAAACAAATGCGTTTTCAAGAGTTGCAAGTTGAGGGCCGGGAATTTAGCTCAGTGGTGGCACCACCTACCTCCCAAGCACAAGGACCTTACTTAGTTCAATCCCTGGTACCAAAATAACACAAACATATTTCAGGAGTTCAGTTGCTGATGACATTGAATGAAACTGTGTGAGCCACGTACTTGTTCAGAAAAATAAATAGTCATTTTTGTATCTCACTTATTAGCAAAGCTATTTATTGTTTTTCTCTTATTTCTGTGACTGCTCATAAGGGCTTCAGCAGTGATATCCAGGATGTGGACTGGTACCAGCATTGTATTAATTTCCTTTGGCTGCCACAAAAAAGTACCATAAACCTAGTGGCTTAAAATAACACAAATGTATTATAGTATAGTTCTGGAGATCAGAAGTCTGAGATGAGTCACCTTAGGCTAAAATCAAGGTGTTGACAGGGTTGCATTCCTTTCTGGAAGCTCTAGGGATGAATCCATCTCCTTATCTTTTCCAGCTTCTAGAGGCCACCCACATTCCTTGGTTCATAGCCCCTTCTTCCATCTTCAAAGCCAGCAGCAGCATCTCTTTTTGACTCTCTCTCCCCTTTTACCTCCCTCTTTCACTCTTAAAGACCCTTATAATTACATTAAATCCACATAGATAATCCAGGAGAACCTGTTTTGTTTCTTTTGTTTGTTCATTTTGTTTTTTGAGACAGGGTCTCAATATGTACTCTAGGCTGGCCTTGAACGCGCTATGTAGTCCAGGCTGGCCTTGAACTTGTGGTAATCTTCCAGGCTCAGCCTACTGAATACTAGGATTACAGGTATGCATTACCATGCCCAGCACAATAGAGAATCTTCTTAAATTCAGCTAATTAGCAAGCTCAGTTCCCCTCTGCCATGTAAGTTAACCTATTTACAAGCTTTGGGTATTGGAGTATGGATGACAGGGAGGCCTATTTTTTTGGCCTGCCACAAATAATCTTTACTAGTCTAGCATTATTGATGTTTTATTAGGCAAGATCTGTTATTCTGATAATTTCTTTCATCTTGCAGAAGAACTCCTAAACTATGAGGCTAGATGTGATTGGAGATGTATGTATATAGGGTTAGGAAGAGCTTCCTCAGCTAACTGCTTGGATTTCTTCCCTCTAATCTCTGCCTCTGGACATATCTGTAGTCTTAGCAAGCGCTCAGCTACCCTTTCAAACTGGGTCATGTGAATTCATGATGGAGAACTGACAGTGCAGTAGATCTACACTTTCACCTTCTGCCTTAACTCAGTGGCCCTATCAACGTACTCTTCCAAGAAGCTGCAGTTATTTCCTCTACTCACTTCAACCCCAGCGATAGCCATGGAAAAAATGCTCTCTAAAGCCCACCTGTAGGTAGGCTATGTGTGAATTAATGACTGTCAGCAAGTCATCTGGCCTTGTTGCTTTTCTTTAAGACCACTGGCATTTCTCTAGAAAGAACATCCCTCAGCTCTCATGTTACCTGAATAGCATACAGCCTTCTGACTGGTCTGTGATCCCAAGCTACCTTTTGGCCTTATTTTCAACCCTTCCCCTACCTGAACACTTAACTCTAGCCACTCTGGGCTACTTATGATTCCCCCCATAAGAAGCCAGGAATAGTTAGCACATACCTGTAATCCCAGTACTCTGGAAAGCTGAAGAGGATTACAAATATGAGCCCGGCCTGGGCAACTTAGCAAGATCCTGTCAAAAATAAGAAAAGAGCTGGGGCTGTAGCTCAGTGTGAAGACTCTGGGTTTAATCCCTAATACCACATACACACGAAAGATTGACTTTAGCCTTGCCACCTTTGTCACTGCCCTCCCTGGTGCCTGAAAATACTCTTTTCACTCTACCCTTGGAAATACCACTTGACCTTTAAGTTTCACAAATGGCTCCAGCCTTCATTCTATGAGCACTGAATTTACTATGTTCCATTCCTTTGCCTCATGTCATGGATTGCTTGGTACTGCTAGTTCTTACTGAGGTAGGAAAATGCCCAACACTATCCTTTTCCCGTTGATGGCCAGAGGAGGCATGATTTCTGAGGATCCCAGAGGGTGGCCAGGGACGACTAGCTCCAGCATCTTCCTGCTATCTCTGGGGGTTGTCTCAACCACCCTCTAGGCCTTAGCTTGCTTTGGAGCCCAAGACTTACCCAACAATTGTGATGCCCCTTCCCTACTTGGGGCTGCTCAGGTGTGACAGCTGCCTCTCAGGACTAGCTAGAGGACCATGTCTAACAGGACGAAAGCTGCTATTGTCCCCAAAATCCCCAAACCCTGTTGGGCCTTGTTCAGCACTGCTGCCATACCTGGAAACTCAAAGCAGCTGCAGTCGTGACTTCAGGGAGCTGTCAGTCAAGCAGCAGCTTCTACAGTTTCACCAAGCTGTCACCGTGACAATGAAGGCTGTCCTAGATACCCAACAGCCGAATCTCTCATCTGGGAGATATTTGCCTTGACTGCAATAGGGTTTCAGACACAGACCTATCCCAGATGACACTGCCCTGCCACCTCCAGAGGACCTTGCCTCCCTCTCCTACTACTTGAAAATTCCCAAAATAGATCAGTGAAATGCAAGAGACCACACATGGTCAGACTGCTCCTAAGTGGCATTCCCTCACCTACCTTAGGTCAGTCCAGGTGGCTCTCACCTGTGCACTTTCCCCTGTGCTGGAGCACAGACCCTAGTAAAGCTTCACTCAGGTGATCTTATTGCCTACTTGTGACTTTTTTTGTCAGGTAGAGCGATTGAATGGTTTGCACTAATAGCTGGCAACATGAAGGGCTATTGGTCCTGACAATGCTTAGCAGCCAGAGGGGTTGCTGAAGAGCTCCAGAAGACAGTGGAGCAATGAAGAGCCAAGACCTGCAGAGATCTGTGGGAGAGCCCCAGAGAGGTGCCAGAAGCTGCTGCAAGAGTTCCAGAAAGCTGCAGGGGGCCTATGAGCTCTGGCTGCTAGGTGAGGTCGTTGGGAGCTACCAGGAGCTAGAACACTTAAGAGTTGTAATACTAATTGCTCAGAGATGCTAGCACTCAGCTTGGAGCTGTAACACTAATAGCTAAGAGCCATTGGCACTCAAAGCCTGGAGCTGCTAACATCAAGGGAGTTGTACTTACTAATTCATGATTTCTGTCCAAATTGGGCAAGAACCCTCAGCTGATTGTTAACATCCTGAAAGCTGGTACTGTACTGGGACCATCCTCTACAGGGCCCTGAAGAAGAGTGGACAACAGTGATAGTTGTCAACAAGCTCAGAAACTAGCCAACCTCTATCTGATTTCCATGTTATGTGCAGCTAAGAATCCACACTAACTGGTGACATTGTCACATATTCCCTGCTGGCCTGACCTTAGGTTCAGGGACCATGTCTTATTCACCTCTAGTGATCCCTTCCCCAAAGTATGCTCAGAAGTGCCTAGGTAGCCAGCTACCTGACAGCTCCCTGCTGCTGCAATCCCTGAAGGTGTCTACCGGTACCACCAGGTAATAGGTGATTCAGAAGAGGGTCAAGGCCCCAGGTCCAGGCAGGGAGAAGCAGGAAGTACATCCCCATGTCTAGTCAGGGCTGATCATAATGATAACTACTAACACACCCTGGTCTGATTATTTTGTTTATTGAAAAGTGTTAAGCAGGATTTTAGACATAAAAAATAAAAGGCAAACATATAGGGGTCTTGGGAACCATAGTCACAGTTGTTGCTGAGCTGGTGGCCTGGGCTGCAGCCCCATGGGGCAGCACTCTATGCTGTTGGCTTCATACTCCCTGCACATGGGAAAGGCCGAGTTTAGTTGCTGAATTACAAGGGCAGTGGGGCTCTAGGCATCTACCTCTGAAGTAGTAGGAGAGGTCTTGGCAGCTAGGGATCAGCAATGGCTCAGTCCCCAGGACAGGGAGGGCAGCTCTCTGGGAGACCTGGCAGTATTGGAGCCTCCAGGGAGCTCCAGGGGCTGGATTATGGGGATAGCCAAAGCCAGCCTAACAGTGAGGAAGGAAGTGAACCTGAAATGTGGGTGAGGACTGCATGGGCCAAAGGGGAGCCCCCATCTTAGTCTCACAAGCCTGAATAAGAGGCCTCTGTAGTCTCAGACCAGGAAGAATCTCTGCGGGAAGACAATGGCTGCTGCTGGAGGGCAAGGCAGCCCAGACGTGTGAGCAGTGTCCATAGACGCTCTCGGAACTTGACTCCCACAAAGGCATAGAGCAGTGGATTGAGGCAGCAGTGCATGTAACCCATGCCCGAGGTGACTGACTTGGCCACATCCACATGGCTTTCTCGGCCACAGTTGCGAGCCAGGGCCCCCAGGTCCATGAGGATGTCTACCATAATCACTAGGTGATAGGGGGTCCAGCAGAGGGCAAAGGCCACCACTACCACTACCACTAGCCGCATGGCTCGCAGGCGCCGCTGCCCTCTGGAGACCAGCAGCACAGCCAGGATGCGGGCATAGCAGTAGGTCATGACCAGCAAGGGCAGTAGGAAACCAGCCACCAGCTGCAGCACACGCAGAGCTGTGCGGCCAAACCGCGGAAAGGTGTGCTGGCAGAGGGTAGCATTGAGGCGGTCATCACGATGCGCTGAGAGGAAGATGAAGTCCGGGAGGGCAAACAGTAGGCAGAGCCCCCAGACAACCACACAAGTAAGGGCCACGCGGGTCGGGGGCCCCCGGCGGTAGAGCTGGGTGGCATGCACTATGCTCAGGTAGCGATCAAAGCTGATACAGGCCAGCAGGAGGGCTCCGGCATAAAAATTGATGTTGAATAGGGCGCCTGCCACTTTGCAGAGGCCAGAGCCAAAGACCCACTGGACAGCAGCATCCACTGCCCAGAGCGGGAGTGTCAGCACCAGCAGTGTGTCAGCCACGGCCAGGTGGAGCAGGAAGGTGTCAGTGCTGCTCAGGGCGGACCGCTGGCTCAGCAGCACAGCTGCCACAACACCATTACCCAGCAGCCCCAGCACAAAGAGAAGGCTATAGAGGACCGGAAGGAAGGCCCGGTCGAAGTTCTGGCTGAAGTCCTGTGGACAAGGTGGGGTGTCACAGCAGGAGTCATTCTTGTTTTCTCCATAGTCGTAGGAAATGCTAGAGTTTTCCAGGAAGCTGGCCAAGTCTGAGGCATCTAGCACTTGGCATTCACTCACCTGCAGGAGGGAAGGAAGAGGTAAGGGAGGCCTGAGCTATGTAAAGGTCTCACAGCCACCCCCACTCCTTTGTGACTTGTGACTTTGATGAGGATTTCGCTGAGCAGTTCCTCTTGTGAGACAAGCCCCGAGAAGCCCCCTAAATCCCAGCACTCAGGAGACTGAGGCAGGAGAATCGCCGTGAGTTCGAGATCAGCCTGGGCTACACAGTGAGTTTCAGGTCAGTCTCAACTACACAGTGAAACCCTGTCTCAACCCCCTCCCCCGCCAAAAAAAATAAAAGATAAGCCTCAAGACCTGGGCTAGATCCTATAACTCAACACCTTTCTTCCAGGGCTATCTTTCCTTAAGTTTATCTGTCCAGCCTGGTACCTGTTTCTCTTCATTCTTCTAAGCCATCTCATGGGCCTGGCTACAGTCCCCTCTGGAGCACAGAGTCCTCCCAGCTGCCTCCTCTCTCTCCCTTTGATCTTCCTTCATGGTTTGCCAACGGGGGCGGCGGGGCAGCCACACCTAGTTCAACCACCTGCCTGCTCAGGCGTCTCCTCACTGTCGCATCTCCCATCGCTGGCTCTTTTCTTCCCTCCTTAGCTCTTGTTTGGGGCCTCCAACTTCCTGCCCCTCAAGGGGCATCTCTGCAAATCATTGTGCTCCTTCTCCCATCCCCTACACAAAGGCATGTCCACTTAGCTGCCCACTGAGGGGCCTCTAGAAGGCCTCTTCTTTCTTTCTTTTTCTTTTTGTGATTAACTTGATACTTTTATTGTAGAGGTTGATTTCATTTAGAATCTCTGTGTTAATCGCCTTCTCCCTGTTTTAATGATCCTTTGTTGAGGCACAACACTTACCCGTACATTTTAGATATAAATGAAGATCGCATTCATCACAGGGGATTTGCACCTGTACATGATATATCCTGCCTCTTCTTTTTTTTCGCATTGCCCCTCCTCTCAACTCCCTCCCCCTCTATATTACAAAAGCTTTGTTTCCATTTTTTCCTCCTATTTTCACTTTTTTCTTGTCCCTTCCTTCCTTACCACATTGCAGTATTTACATATGTGTATTTGAATTATTTCACTTAATATGGTGTCATGGTGCATCCACTTACCTAGAAATGTCTCAGGCTAGAAAGCCTCTTTCTTCCCCTTCTCCTCCCTTCCCTCCTCTTCTTCCTCCTCCTCCCTTTCCTCCTCCTCTTTCTCCTTTCTCCTCTTTTTTTTTTTTTTTTTTTTTTTTTTTTTTTTTTTTTTTTTTTAGTCAGGGTCTCACTATGTAGTCGAGGCTGGCCTCTGAGCTCACTGTGTAGTCCAGGCATCCTTCTTCTAGAGACAGGGTCTCCCTCTGTTTTCCAGGCTGGTTTAAACACCTGGCTCCTTCTGTGTCAGTCTCTCTACTAGCTGGGACTGCAGATGCGCTGCCACACCGAGCTGGCAGGGATCTTCTTTACTGCCTCAGGACCTCCCTAAACCACCCCAGAGCTGTAGCCTCCCTGGTGCCAATTCAAACCAGATGCTCCAAGTCAGAACTGAAGGGAGACGTAGAGGTCGGCAAGGTTGAACTTCTACCTCCCCAACCTCCCTGCATTTGGCAAGTGAGATGCCCAAGCCAGAATGTGGTCAGTGGCCAAGCTAGTCAATTCCCAATTCCCCATCTAGAGCTCCTATCACAGCCCCTGCCACTCTCACCTGCTCCTCCATCAACCTTCGGGTCCACCCCCCAGGCTCTGGACTAGGCCAGTCCTGTCCCTAGAGCCCTGAAATGGCCACTCTGAGCTGTGCTCTGGTGGGGCTGGGCAGCAGCACTTACCTCAAGGACCATGGCTGCGCTGGTACTCTGGTTGCTGGAGTTGCGTGCTGCTTGCCCTTCTGCCTTGGTGCTTGTGGTTGGGAAACTGCACTGCACAGAGGAAGTGAAGGTTTCATGCAGCTCTCGGCACAGCCTCTTCCAGAGGCTGGAAGGTCTACAAATCTATCTAGGCCCAGGACACAGAGTTCCTACCTCAGCCATTCTGGTAGCTGGGTGAAACCTTTCTGGAGGAGTTGCGATGAGCCTGGGACCAAAAAGACTGAGCCGTAGGGAAGGGGTTGGGGTGGTTGGGTTGGGGAAGGTCCTTCTGATGAGAGAGATCTAAGGGGGAAGACATGCAGTGGGGCGATGAGGGCAGCCCTGCTGCCAGGGGTAAGAATTGCTCCTCCTTCTGGTTAATTCTTAAAGAGTTAGCTGGTGTGCTCTTCAGTTCTGTACTGGAGTTAATCTTTGTGTGATTGTACAGACTGAATCACAAAATGTGTTGCCTGTAAAGGAGATTAGCCTGCTTTAAAAGTTAAAATATTTTGAAGAAGTCCTTCACCCTAACTCTAGTTCTTTGCCACTGCCCCTCTCTGCTAATCAACAGGAAGAAAAGAAAGGAAACTGTTAATAATGAATGTGCTATGTGCTAGAGGGCACTTTAGGTCCTTTTCCGACACTTCCTCATTCCTAGTCCACAAGTCCCTTGTGAGGTGGTGGGTGGACTGTCCCCACGAATGGTTCAGAAGGGGGAAAGGCTTTCATCCGACATGCACGTATGGGTGAGTGTGGGGCCTGAGCCCACAGCTGTCTGACATGTTTCTTTTAAATGGATAAACGGATAATGCACAGCGCTAAAAATCAAATGAAGTAAAACTACACATTTTTAATATGAATGCAGCTAGAGAAGCCATTGCCACAAGAGGGATGTGGTGAGAGTGCCAAATCCTAACCACTAGATCACCAGGGAGCATCCACGAGAGTGATGTGGATAGTTTGACACCCCTTATGTAAATTCTGGCCACCGCCGCCGATGGCAACACCACATTGTTTTGGGTATGGCTAAAACTTTGTGCTCAAAATTTAAGGCTAAGACTAGAGATATCACAAATTCCCAGTAGCATTTGCTCTGTGGTGTGAAGAAAAACAGTAAGGTTGGAGAGGAGTCCTGATTTTATGGAATAGCTGTGGGGTGGTGTTAGTACATCAAATCATTCACTTCCCAGGTGAGCGGTGTGGAACAATTCCTCTTCCGCCTTCCCACAGCTTTCCCTTCCCCTCAACTCCCCTCCCTATCGGCCTGTTTTCCTTCTGAGTGGGCAAGGCTGACCCTAACTTGCCTCCTCCAAGCAGTTTCCTTATTCCTTCTCTTCCCCAAATACTAGCCGGTTTTCAGCTTATTCACGTGACCTGTACAGCAGCAAGGCCCCTTTCCTCCTTTTGTGGATAGATCTAACTGCTTTGCTCTGAAACAGCTGTCACCTGCAGAGTTTAGGCCAGGGGGCACTGAGGGCCCAGAGGACTGTGCAAATGGAGGGGACTGGGAGAATTTCCCACACCAGGCCAGTTGGGATGTAGGATGCAGAAAGGGCTGACTATGGGGTGGGAAAGGGACAGGAGCCAAGACCATGGGTTCTCCATTCTGGTCTGTGAAGAGGTTTGAGGTCACTGGATTTCTGCAAATGAGAAAAATGACCACAAGAAAACTATATTTGCTAGTTTTAAAGGACTTACTTTACAATTATGTTCATCCCCCCCCTCTTTTTTTGGTAGTGGGGATCAAACTCAGGACCTTGTCTTCATCCCCTTTTTGGTATTAAAAGGACCTTTGCTTTATGAAAGAAATGATAGAAAAAATAGTTGTTTCAGACGTATCTTGTGCTGGCAGAAGTTGTCAATCCAATATGAGCCCTCCAAACAGATTTTGGAATATTCCAGGTCTATGTGAAATGTAAAGGTCTGGGAGTCCCTGGTCTCCTTCCTGGGCTCCAGTCTCGTGTATCACACAGGGATGATGAGCCCCACCTTCCCAGTTTGCTGGGAAGGATGCATAGAAGAAGGTCAGGGCAGGAGCTTTGGAAAGATGTGAGAATTTTCCTTGCTGAGTCCCAACATCCAGTGTCAGGACCAGATCCTGACAGACCAGCCTGGGGTGACCTGGGTGACAGTGATGTAAAGGGAAAAACACTGAACTTGTCTAGACTCCAGGCCTGGTTCCACTTCTTTCGAGCTGTGTGATATTGGACAGATCACAGAACCATCTTGAGCTGGTTTCCTTAGCAGGGTAGTTACAATATAAACGGAGATAACCAAGGCCATAGGCTCCTAGGGCAGGGCCGTGTGCTTAGTAGGGGTGCAAACTGAAAACACTGAGTGGGTAAGATAGCAGCCACAGACCTAGAACCACCGGGAACCTTTCCTATCAATCAGGGGTGGCCACAACAGAGGATAGTGCCTGGATCAGGGAGCGGGTTCTCCAATGCCAGCCAAATCCTGGGCAAATCATTTCATGCCCGTGCTTCAGTTTCCTCATCTGAAGAATGACTCTAAGGATAATTACGCATTTGCTAGGGTTATTATGTGGACCACAGACTGACCCCTCCTGAGCCTCAGAATAGCAGGTCTGTGGTGGCCATCTGCCATCTTTCACGACTGACATACCTTGGAAACCTCCTGCGTCATGGGACTGAGCTAAGCCTTAGTCTGGCCCTCTAATTTGGTCCTTTCCAGTGCCAAGTGGCCCCTAGTGCGGGGAACTAGGAGCTAGGTGAGTTCTGCTTGAACCCTCCTGCTCCTCCCCTCCAGAATAGTCAGGGGAAAGCCTGAGGAGGAAGTTAGTCAGAATGAAGCTGCTCCGGGCCCCACCTGTGGTCAAGGTGTGAAATATGCACCTGGTTCTTCTCTGCCACCCCTCCCCCTGTTATTTTTCATTCTTTCACACCTCTGGGCCGTGTGGTTTGGGGAGATGGGAGGCTCAGAGATCTGAGCCCTGGCCCCAGACCCTCACAGGAAGGAGGGCCCCTACAGCTGTCTGCTGGGCCAGACTGCCTGGGACAAGGACCATTTCCTCTCCCCCACAGTCTGCTGCTTCACAGCTTCTCTCCAAGCTCCTCCGAATGTCTCCCAGGAACCCTGCTCCAAACCCCTCTGGATGGCCACCGGACTGAGCTGTCAGAAGAGCCAAATCCGCCAGGCCAGAAGTTCCCTGGGGGCTCAGGCAGTGGCCCTTGCTGGGGCTGGCTCAAGTCACAGGGAGGCCCAAGGACTGGGTGCTGTCCCTTCCTCTTCCCCTTGTTGTACTGCTCAGAGTCCTCCAGGGACCCAAGCCCTAAGTGCTGGAGCTATGCGCTGGGGACTGGAGAGTGCAGAGGCCGGAGTGGTCACTGGGCCTGCTGTGCTGGTGCGGTGACAGGAGCGTTGGTAACGTCTGCATCTTGTATTTCCTTACAGGGTGATCAGAACAGCTGATATTTATTGATTACTTAACAATGTGCCAGGCATTGTTGTAAGTGTGTTGTTGGGATGAGATCACTTAGTACCCGTAACTATGTAGTAACTACGAGGTGGCTATCATTCCTATTGTACAGGTGACAGAAACAGAACATTTAAGGAACTTGCTCAAAGTCACACTGCTGGTCAGTGGCAGGGGCATTGAGGTCCTACGCATTATGTTGGAATGTCTTGCCAGGTTTAAGGGGCTGGGATTGAGGGTGGTATTCAGACAGGATTACTTTGGGTTTATCTGTAATGTTTTACACAGAAACTGTATTCACCTATTAGCTGTGTGACTAGTCATCAAAAATGAGGATAATCTGAGTGTGATGGCACACACTTGCAATCTCAGGTACTAGGGAGACTGAGGCAGGAGGACCACAAGTTTGAGGCCAGCCTGGATAACTTAGTAAGACCCTGTCTTTTTTTTTTTTTTTTTTTTTTTTTTTTTTTTTTTATTGAACTCGGGTCCTTGTGCTTGCAAGGCAGGTGGCACCTCTGAGCTAAATCCCCTGCCTGGTAAGACCCTGTCTTTTTTTGTTTGTTTGTTTGTTTGTTTTGAGACAGGGTCTCACTATGTAGTTGAGACTGACCTGGAATTTACTGTGTGGCATAGGCTGGTTTTGAACTCACAGAAATCCTCCTGCCTCAGCCTCCCAAATGCTGGGATCACAGGCGTGCGCCACCACGCCCGGCTAAGACCCTGTTTTAAAAATAAAACAGGGCTGGCAATGTAGCTGAGTGGTAGAGTGCTTGCCTAACATGTGCTAGGCCCTGAGTACCATCCCCAGTACTGGTAACAAAAGAAAAAAGGAGGATAAAAATAAGCTCAAGTAGTAGAACAATTGATAAAATTTGAATCTGGCTTATGATTAGACAAAAATCTTGTATTCCTGTTATTTTACTAATTTTGATAATGTCAGAGAATGTCCCTGTTTATAGGAAATATACACGGAGATATTTAGGAGCAAAGAGCCCTCATTCTAGCTGCTTACTTTACTAAGACTTGGAAATCAAGTACTCGGAGTGAGAGAGAATACACAAGGGATACAGTGCTATTCTTGCAGCTTCTCTGTAAGTTTGGAGTTCTATCAAATATAAAAGACACCAAAAGAATCTCTCATGCAGGATAAGTTTGGGGTCAGATGCTTTTCCTGGAGCACTTAGCAGCCTTGAGAAAAGATGAGGACAGGGTTGTGCCTGGGAACAAATGCTGCCTGGCTGTGGCCACTGGCAGAGCGCCCTGCCTGGGTTTATTCCCCACCTCTCCTCTCTGTGGCCTCAATTTATGCTGGCTTCCTCCAACCTCTCAGCCCAGCTTCCCCTGCAGCCATTTGAACCAAGGAAGTACCCAAGGCCGTGTGTGTGTGTGTGTGTGTGTGTGTGTGTGTGTGTGTGTGTGTGTGATTATCATGAGATTATAATGAGCCCAAGTTTGTCTGGAGAGTCAATATGGCATCTGGACCAGATCAAGCCCATCTGGAAGCCCATCCCCCAGCATCTGGGAACAGATGATAACTTGGTAGTAAGCAGCTGGCAGCATGTGGTTATCAGCATCCAGGATTTAACTTTCACAAGCACACAGCATAGCTGACAGGACAACAGGCTCTCAGTAATTTTGGGGTTCTGGCTGGTGACATAAAGAGGAAAAGGCACACCCTGCAAATCATGGTGCCCACCCCAAAGATATTCCATTGCTGTTGAGTAGTCTCCACCTCTAGGTCCTTACCTTGTCAAGTACCCAGTGATGCTTTAAGTTGCCTTCCCAGGACCCTGCTTAGAGGGATGGGCTTACCTCTGGCCTTCTGGAAAATTCCTCAGCCAACCAAAACTAACTTCCCACAAACTCAACAGTGCTAGCCTTGGCAGCTTTGTCCACATGCCC